TGGTGTCCTTTCTTTAAACTGCATCAACTTAAATTAGCTTTTGGACACACACACACACACACACACACACACACACACACACACAAGATAGATAGATAGAAATTCTGCAATGGAAATGCCAGGAAACTTCCCCCTGTTTTAAAAGTGCTTTGTAAATAAAGTTGAGTTCAAACTACTACTACTTGACATACACGGAGCAGCAACACGTACAAAGAGCAAGTAGAAATATTCAAAAGGCCAACAATTACTATAACTGAGGGTTAAAGTTGGGCACCTTCTCTTTTCTTCGTCTTTCTCTTAACTCTGCTGCATCTCTTCCATTAGTGCTGCCTGAGTGTTGTTGCGGCACAACGTGGTAGTACACTGAAGGTGTGCAACTCGAACTTTGGACTTGCCTGTACACCAGGGTTGGACATACTTTTGTGCTCAGGGGCCATAATTGTTCAAATTAACGGACAAGCCTGATCTTTCAGATATGAGGCCTAAGGAAAATGCGTTTGTGAAAGAGTTTACTTAAGCATACAATTTATGCACACGAACAATGAACCGCAAAATAGCAGTTTATAAATAACACAGCTGCTCGGGTACTGTGTTTATGCCTTTATTCGAGTGGAGTCTGATCCACTCTGCATATGTTGAAGTGGCGGTGGCCTGTTCAATGCATCAAGACTATAAACTTGTCACCTTTGCTCGAAATGATGTTGCCGTCGTGCTAATTGCATGAAGGGCAAATTCTGTCATACTGTGCTTGATTTGACTGGAGGGGGTGGGTGGGATCGTGTGTGTGTGTGTGTGTGTGCGTGCGTGCGTGCGTGCGTGCGTGCGTGCGTGCGTGCGTGCGTGCGTGCGTGCGTGCGTGCGTGCGTGCGTGCGTGCGTGCGTGCGTGCGTGCGTGCGTGCGTGCGTGCGTGCGTGCGTGCGTGCGTGCGTGCGTGCGTGCGTGCGTGCGTGCGCGCGTGTGTGTGTGTGTGTGTGAGTGTTATGTAACTGATGGAAGAACGGAGTCACACATAAGTGCAGGCAAGTGAACAATAAAAAAAAGTGCCTTTTTCATGCTCAGACTTGCCAACACACAGGAAAGCCGCCTCCTTTTCATCTGCATTGGAAGCATTCAAGACACAGCGGCTCACATGACCCAAATCAAATCAGCATATGTTTAAAAACCTGCAACACATATTTGATATTTTAATAACAAACCATATGTTCCCCATAGAATATACTAGAAATAGAAACATTTTCATTCCAGGCAAATGCATCACAGTTGCAGCGTGCAGTAAACTCGCTAGCTATGTCTATACCCTGAAAATACATCTCCCCTTCAGATAGTCTGGTGGTGTAGCCGTTTTAGAGCAATGACAAATGTTATTCACGTGTAAAACTATTTCTATGTATAAAAAAATAAGCCACGCTGATATAAATAAAGCAGCATGTCTCCAAGCCACAGTCAGAGTTAAATTCCATCATGTTACAAAAGAGTTGGGTGTTTAAAAAAGAAGGGGGCAGGGGGTTGCATTGTTTTCTGTGCAGAGACTTGAGTGTCAGACCGAAACTGTGATGACAACACTTGTTCAACACGTCACTTTTCTTTCACTCACACGAGCCTCATTTAACTTCAACTCAGCCACCGGAACAGCAAGACCATGCTAGCAACAACATTCCACTCTCAATTAAATATGACAGCATCTATTCCAAATATTAGAATGCAGACTATCAAGTGACATTCTGCCAAGCTGACGGTGTATGCGTATTTTGCCTACGTAATCTCAGATGGATGGAGCTGTGTTCAGCATGGAGATTGATGTATCAACAGCTTGGTCCGCTTCAGTCCAAATTCTAATCCAAGCACAAAATACAGGATCACGCTCTTGTGTAAATGATAGTTGTCCTGAGATAAAATCTAAGTGTAGCTAATGTAAAAGTGATTCAAAAAACAGAATGAGTCCTGCCAGACGTGTCCTACTAGGAAGTTTCTGCAGCTTTAGTAGCGAAACCCAGACTTCCCTCTCCCCAGCCACTTCTTGCAGCTCTTCCCAGGGGATCCCGAGGCGTTCCCAGGCCAGCTGGGTGACATAGTCTTTTCCAGCGTGTCCTGGGTCGTCCCTAACCAGGGAGACATTCAGGGGGCATCCTAAGCAGATGCCCGAGCCACCTCAACTGGCTCCTCTCGACGTGGAGGAGAAGCGGCCTGACTCTGAGCCTCTCCCGGATGACCGAGCTTCTCACCTTATCTCTAAGGGAGAGCCCGGACACCCTGCAGAGTATAGAGGTCAGTCTTGTTTTTTCTTCCATATCCAATGTCTTTGTTCATCTATCTATGCCAGTGAAATAAAGTGACACGGAAAATAAATAAGTGCTCTTCAACTGTATGGTACAAGGTTCCATTGCATGATCCAAGTTTTGGTTGGCACCTTTAGTCCACCCGGCTTCTCTTATACTCAACATTTAGCCCAAAGTGCAATCTTTTGAATGAGAATAAATTTAACAGACACCTGAATGCGTTGGCCAAGAATCCAACCCGGGTCAACTGCTTGGAAGGCAGCTTTGCGAACCACTACACCAACTAACGCTAAAAGATACCAATTGGTGGCTGTAGTATTTCACAGCTTGTGTGTTTAAATTGCACCAGCATAGTCAATCATCTTTATAGCTATACGACACTTGAGAACTGTAATATAAATTTTCAACAAACACACTTTGGGTACCAGTTCTCTTCCACCATCGAACTCAAATTTCACTCACAAGTCGAAGCATAATACAGTATTGGCTGAGCAGACAATAACTCAAGCAAATCTGTGGCTTCATCACTTTAACCCTTTCATGCACCCTGTAACCTGATAACATGATAAGCTGTCCACTATCGTAACCGCCGTCCCTGAAAGGGTTAACGTTACATTTTCATTAAATTATGATGTATAAAGATGTGGACTGCACGTTGGCGCTGAACTGATCTGGACACACTTTACATAAATAAATAAAACATACATGCATGCAGTATATTCAATAGCTACAGGATATCAATGTGAATGTGAATATTTGTTCATCCCTGAACTACATTCTATGATTTGATGTATTTCAGAGATGATTTCTACAAAGGAATGACACAGTCAGTCACTGTTGTGGACAGTTTGGAAGATGAAGTAGCCTGAGGGTCTTTCCTGCACTCTTGCAAATAGCACGTAAACAGCAACACTGTCACAGCTGCTGAGTGTAACCTTGTGCTGATATCTGATTGGTGCACAGAGTAGAGAGGAGTCATGCAATTGAATACTCACACTCATGTCTGGAGTGGTGTTACAATAAATGGATGGGCCCGTGTTTATCTGTAAAAATGATTGATAGGCCCTACTGCTGCTTGTCTAATCCGGTCTTCAGTCCCTCAACGAACGTTGACATAGATCCAATGCAAGTGTGGCAGATTGACGTCAGCGGGATCACTGCTAACTCCCCCAAACGGCGGCGTCGACACACAATCGCACCAATGGGCCCACCGCACATGGCTCGTTGACGCGCATACGAAAAACACACTCGTCCACACAGAGAGACGGCTTGTTCGTCGAGCGCCAACCCCGAGACGCCGTGCTTCTACATTTCAAAGGCCAAGGTCAGACGGGTGCGCATTGACCAGGAAGTTACGCAGTAATGAGGCCAATTAGGAGGCTGCGGCAAAGAGGGTATTCCGTTTCTCTCATTCTTCGCCTACTTTGTGAGGATAAAGCCTTACTTTGTCCTCGTAAAACCATCCACAAAAATGTTAAGAGCAATAAACAAGCATTCTCTTTGGATTTTTTTTTTTTTTTTTGCTGAAACCGTCATACTCACCACATGTGGGAAAAGTCTCTATTTAGACCAATGGAGGGCAATGCATATGGTACCAGGGCTTTTTTTTTGAATACATGCGCCAAAATAAACCTGTCAAAACCACCTCATCACGTCAACATTACAGAAAATGTCTATTTAGTACAAATGTGTCACATGCATGATATGGAAATCATCCATCCATCCATTTTCTAATCCGCATATCCTCATGAGGCTCGCGGATGTGCTGGAGCCTCTTCCAGTTGTTTTCGGGTACACCCTGAACTGGTTGCCAGCCAATTGCAGGGCACACATAGAAGAACAACCATTCGCAATGACAATCACACCTAAGTGTTAGAGTGTTCCATTAACCTGCCATAGATGTTTTTAGAATGTGGGAGGAAACCGGAGTACCCGGAGAAAACACACACAGGCACGGACGGGGGGAACATGCAAACTCCACACAAGAAGACTGCAACCAGAATTGAACCCTGTACCTCTACCGACTAGTGTTGCCAAAAAGTGGACTTTACAACCAGACTTTCATTGCATTGCATTCTTTTAAATGAGACCCTCCTTTTGTCTTTCCATAAATCTCAAACTGAAAAGCAACAGAAAACAATGATGCTTTCTTTTGTTAATTCAGGGTTACATAAGTACAGTCACATGACTTTGAAGGGAAGAGTAGAATGATAAGAAAGCATACGAGCACTTCTCCCAGCAGCAAAGCAACTTGAAATGTATGAGTTACTCAAGTCCCACAAAACCACTGCATTGGCCGGGAATCGAACCCGGGTCAACTGCTTGGAAGGCAGCTATGCTAACCACTATAGCACCAACACTATGGTCCCAAAAGAGGCGGTTCTGAATCACAGGACACAAATGATGATGAAGCCCAAGAACCACTCCCAGCTGACTGGATGAGTGGCATTTGCCAAATTGCCAACTTCTCAAGTGGATTTGCCGCTTGAATACATTTTTTTTTAAGATACACACATACATTGGATTGTTATTTTAAAAATTTATTATGCTCTGCAATATTTGCAAGGCACTTTTTCAAGTTGCAACAGATTCATCATATTGACGAAAGACATCTGTTGAACAAAGATTATTGGACTATGGATCAGTTTTCAATTAGAGAGCCCACAAGATACATCAAAGCACTGCAATGCCTGGGAACCCAAACTAGGTCAACTGCTTGCGACTTGCACTTATGCTAACCACTTGGACCAACAGTGTGAGGCCAAGCCAAGGTAACAAAGTCGTTCAAAAGGAACTAATAGATATACCGTGAGATTTCTCACGAATGTGAAATTTTGCACGCCGTTATCCTAATGCACCTGTTATGAGATCTGATGAGCACCCTTGCACACGTGACTCTGTGGCACAATGGACAGCGCGTTGGACTTCTAGAGAGAGTTCAGTTTAAGTAATTCAAAGGTTGTGGGTTCGAGTCCCACCAGAGTTGTCTTATATTTATGTGTTTGATAGAATGTAACAAAAATTATATGGAAAACAAGAAACGTTGAAGCAATTGATTGGCTGAACATTGGATGCAGTCAAGTAATAAACGTTGTAATTCCTTGCAGCAGAGCGTTCAATCAGGCTGCCATGCATGTGTTTGGAATGTGGGAGGAAACCCGAGTACTCGGAGAAAACCCACGCAGGTACGGGGAGAACATGCAAACTCCACACAGGGAGGCCGGAACTGGAATCAAACCCGGTACCTCGGCACTGTGAGGTCAACGCGCTTACCACTCGATCACCAGTCCGCCAACTTCCAAGTTCTAATGCCTCAAATCGGAGATGTTTTAGTGGAGTGATTTCAGAGTCCTAACAGCAATAGACGAACGAGCGGGAAAAGTATCCATGTGAGTTCCTGCTAGGCAGTGAAGGAGCCATTTCCAAATATGATGAAGATTTCACTGGAGTGCCAATAGTGAACATCAAGTAAACAAAGTGCAGTGTAAGAAGGTGCTGATAAAATTGCACTTAAGAGAGCCCAGGAAGAAGCAATGCATTGGCCGGGAATCGAACCCAGGTCAACTGCAGTTATGCTAACCAGTTGGACCAACAGTGTGAGGCTACACCAAGGTAACAAACTCATTCAAAAGTAACTAATAGTTATGCAATGAGATTTCTAACCTGAAATTTAGTATGCCCAAGCACAGTAACCTAATGCACCTCTATTATGAGATCCGATGAGCAGTCTTGACCGTGTGGCTCTGTGGCGCAATGGACAGCGCGTTGGACTTCTAGAGCGGGCTCAGTTGATGTAATTCAAAGGTTGTGGGTTCGAGTCCCACCAGAGTCATCTTATGTTCATGTGTCTGACAAAATGTAACAGATATACGAAGAACAAGAAAGGTTAAAGCAAATGATTGGCTGAACAATGGATTCACTAATGTAACAAAGATTGCAATTCCTTGCACTAGAGTCAAATTATTGTGAATTTATCAATCAGCATTTTTAAAAATTCCAAATGCGCTTTGATTTCATTTCACTGTTCATGGTTCTGACAACATGACATGGTCAAATTTTTGAGGATCATCTTTGAGGAGCACTTAAGAGATATACGCAGTCTTGATCGTGTGGCTCTGTGGCGCAATGGACAGCGCGTTGGACTTCTAGAGCGGGCTCAGTTGATGTAATTCAAAGGTTGTGGGTTCGAGTCCCACCAGAGTCATCTTATGTTCATGTGTCTGACAAAATGTAACAGATATACGAAGAACAAGAAAGGTTAAAGCAAATGATTGGCTGAACAATGGATTCACTAATGTAACAAAGATTGCAATTCCTTGCACTAGAGTCAAATTATTGTGAATTTATCAATCAGCATTTTTAAAAATTCCAAATGCGCTTTGATTTCATTTCACTGTTCATGGTTCTGACAACATGATATGGTCAAATTTTTGAGGAGCATCTTTGAGGAGCACTTAAGAGATATACCTTATATAAAGTCAAAGAAATGTATAATCACGTCCTAGAGTTTTTGGTATAACCGTACGCCACACAATGTGGCATTTTTGTCATGGACAAAGAAAATGGAGAAATCAATGTATTCAAGTTGGGCGCGCTTAGCGAGTGTCAACGCGAGATGGCCACCAGTGGCTTCATTTCTTGCTAGAGCGAGTGAGCAGCATTCAATAATAAAATTGAAGTGAATAAAAGATTGCCTCTTTCCTTGCCTTGAGTTAAATGAGTTTCTTAGCAGCATTTTGTCCAACTTCTTCGACATACGATGAAAATGGTAGGGCCCAAAAATTGAACCTGTGAATGTCTCCCACTGTTTCGATGAGTCAAACACTCCATCCATAGCATGCACCATTGAGCCAGAAGACTCTTTCTGCAATTAATATGATGTCTGTGGGACTCCGGCCAACAACCTTTGGAGCACTTCGGTTGTTTTACTTCACTACAAAACCATTGCCCTTTGCATTGCGCCACACCTCCTCTTGTGGAAAGGTTTTCTTGGTACCTTCTTCTGCATTGAATGTGATTAATTGTGCAAGGACAAAATGTAATAGTTACATAACACTCTCAGCCCCAGCAGTTTAAAAGGTTTCTGGCAGTAAGTATAGAAAGTACATTTGTGTGGACAATAGACGCATGTCAGCTCTATTGCCATCAGAGTGCTAACATCTATTGCTCTGGTTCGTCCTGGTGTTATGGCAACAAGATAATCACACAGTGACCAGCATGTGTCCGTGAATAAACACTCATGGAAGGATGAAAACTTCCATTTCAACAAGAGCGGCTATAATGCTGGAATAACAGAAAGTAATTAAGCGTTCCATTGTTTGGGCTTGTTGAACACTAACACGTATTTAATGAGGACATTTTATGCAGCGAACATCGTAATGCTGTTTTTGTTTTGTTGCTAATGACAAAACACAAATTGTGTGGTTTAATTAGGTATTAAAAGTTTGTGCAACAGCTCTTTGTTCTCATTCTAGCAGTGGTGAAAAGCAGCTTTGGAACTGACTCATAGCAGACGTCATGACCTCGTTCTCAAAGTGTCCCACCCACCTGGCGTTCTTTTTTTGCATTCTTCACAACGCAGCTTTATGGACGCTCTGTTGGCGGATGTCCTGAAGATTCTTTTTTTTGCGTTCTTTACAACACAGCTTTGCTGACTGTCTCTTGGCGGATATCCTGAAAACCCGCAAAAGAAAGAAGCGTGAACAGTGAAAGCTTATCAAAAGCACCAAAGACATTTTGGGAAACCAACCAGAGAATACTGGTAACAGCAAATGAAAGACATTTGCTTGTAAACTTCACTGGGAGTGACTGCACACATTCAGAATGTCTAAACAAAGACTGTGGGATGAGAACAAGTGAAAAGCAATGTTCATTATTGTGGTTGTAGTTTGCAGTGGTGTAGAACTTCTCTGCATCATAGCATGACCAAATATTGCATGATAAGGCGGGCAAACGACAGAGACATATAACCGAGACCCTTAGAACAAGACTGGCATAACTCATGTTTAACTAAGTGCAGACATGAATACAGAAACCGGCACATCTTCCAGATGAATATTGCTCTAAATCAAAACGAACAGGAAGGCGGGACTTAAACAGACACCCAAGTTACACAGAGAGGTGGAGTAAAACATGTCAACTCAATGCCTGGAATTGCCGATCATTCCAAAATGCTAGCAGGATACATTTTATTGGTCAGAAAAAAATGGACATCCGTAGGAAAGCTAATGTCTGGAAAGTGGAAACCAAAGTCACAGAGAGAGGAGTAGTACAATACATGCCGAGTGAGTGCACGAAGATTCAAAAATGGCATTGGGAAGCATTTTTGAGGTAGCAAAAGGTGTGCACACCCAAAGAAATGACTCCCATCACTGTGTGTAACCCCCACCGCTGTTTTTGATCGAGAATATCTGACTGTTTTGAACTGAGTCCTTATACATCTCGTTATCAGGTCTTGATGTCAGCCCCAGCAGGCCTTGGTGGGTCCAGACACGTAGTCTGGACAGTGTCTGGGGTCAAGGCCCTCCTACAGAGCACTCCTCGTAGGTCACATCCTGTCCGAAATGGGGGAAGAAACAAGGACGGGGTGGGCTTCTTCTTGCCATGAGAGGTGGGAGGCAGAATGCCAAAGGTCAGAACTGCTTTCTCAGGTTTCAAAGCTTGCTCAGGAGGGGGTTGAGGTGATGAGGTCACTGTGAATAGTTTAGCTCTAGTTAGGGCCACTGTGTTGCTGCACATCACGGTAATGGCTTCCGCAATTAAACACTAAAAATGGAAGCAGTTATATCCTCTGGTTAATAGCAGAGGGTTGGGCTGGGGGGGATGATGGAGCCCCCCTTTAGGCCTCTTACCTGCTGTGCACTGCAGCCATTGCTCAAAGGGAGATTGTAGTCGGTGTTGCTGTCTTTCTGTGGGATTAGTCTGCAATCAAGCATTGAGGGCGGCTCAGCATTTTCGGCCTGAGTGGACAAACACAACCCCAGTGTGAGCTCAGTTAGCAATAAAAGATCTGTGGCTCCAGTGGACTCGGGCGTTAGTGTGTGTGGAAGTGCAACTGTCTGTGCAAGATGGATTGGAGAGTGCAAAAGGCATTTGGAGTTTAGAAGCACCTCACAGGAGACTATCGGGATGAAGCGCCAATTCCATATTAGATGGATTTACATCGCAAATGACACCATTTTGATTTGGGTTGTGTGTCATGGCAAAGTGAAAAGAAAAAAATGTATGCGTGGAATTGGATATCTTCAGATTTGGCTTCAAATGTAGCTAAAAGTACGTGTCTGACTATGTGCCAATGCGAGTGTTGGGTAAACACACAATCAAGCATCACATCAATGTGAGCTCAAGGTCATTGAAATACTATTATTGGACAGAATCAAGCTTTTTATGTGAGCGTCAATTACTAATAAGTTATTGCCATTTTAGTTTTTAGGTTTGACATATAAGGGCTTGTCCAGTCACACTTTATCTTGAGTGCTATTGAATCTGCAGATGAGGGAATGCTATAGATCATCTTTCATGAAATATTTATAAATATAGATATCCTGCTGTAATGATTGCAATTTCACCCTTAGTGATGCATGAAAGTCACTAGCTTTTTTTTTCACTGGCATTTGTTTTCTCCTCCCATTTACCAGCTTGCTGTCCTGTGTGAGTAAAGTACCAACGCAGAAGGATGGCGGTTGGAATTGGGTTGGGGAGGGAGGACGTGCTTGGGGCCGTTGAAGTCAATCTTGCAAGTTAGAAAGAGAAAGAGAGTGAGAAAGCAAGAGAGTAGAAAACAAGCAGAAATAGATACTGGAGCAGAAAGAGAAGAAGCGAGATGTCATTCTTCTGGCTCTGGGCCGGAAGAATAAGTCATTGTTTTGGTGGGGTCTCAATGAGAAAGTGAATGCACATATTCAGACGGGGGAGAAAGGGTAGTAGGGGAGAGCGAGAAGAAAGGGTGTTTCGCGTGGGTGTGCGCCACACAGAAGGGGAGAAGAGGAGACTGCCAAGAGTGAAGAAACACAAGTTACAGAACATCCTGTAGAGAATGAAGTAGAACAGTCAGCGCGGAGTGGTAATGGTGACATGTTTACTTGTCATATAGTACAATGTGTATGTACAATAGATAGATAGATAGACAGATAGACAGATCGATAGATCGATCGATCGATCGATAGATAGATAGATAAAAACAAAAGACAAACCAAATTATATTAAAAAACATTTTTAAGTCGTAATTTTCTTTAACAAATCCACCAACTGCAACTGTGAGTTTGCAAGGATCCACTGCCACTGAAAAAAACAATTTAAGCATAGCACAAAAAGGTATGACAATTTTGTTTGGTAGATTCTTTCTTTATTTTATCAACACTTCTAGGCAATAAATCTTACACTGTTGGAAAGCCTGTCTCTGACTGTTTTAAATGGTAATATATTTGTATGGAATGTGCATTTGTGGGATGAGCAGCAGGGCTTGGTATGTGGGTTGCGGTCATGAAAATTTTTCTCTGTAATAATCTACCAAATACAAATTTCCTTCCTTTTTGTGATATGTTATAATTGCCTGGCAGATCATAACCTACACCGATGAGTTTTAGAGTGTTAAAGTCATGGTGAAAAATACCCCTTTGGACAGAGTTTGGACAACCCTGAATTAGAAAGATCCAACTTGTTGTTTTGAGAAGCACTTGAGCAGGTGTTATCTCACATTAGCGATAAAGAACTTTGCGCACAGCATGGCGTGACGCAAGGGAAGGAGACCGACCGGGTCGGGCTTACATAAGTGTCTCCAAACACACACACAGACACACACACACACACGCACACACGCACACGTACACACGCACAGCCACACAGAGCGTGGGGTACGGCTCCAGATGTCGCGTGTCTGATGGTGAACTCTTGACAGACGCACACGGACATGACCACCTCTGTTTCCCATTCCCGTGAATCCACTCAACATGTGTTCTGGTCAGTGGCCAACAACTCAAGCTGATCCACTTAGTCAGAGCAAACAGTCGGAATCAAACAAGCCGTGATGGAATTGAACACTTCAGACCGCAGCCGCTCATTAACATTCATCAGCTTGAAGTCTTGAATGCGTCATCGTGAGATAAAGGGTCAAAGATGTGAAAACAGGCAATTTAGTAGCAAATCATTTTTAAAAAATGATCTGTACTATCAGTCAGTGGGTGGTGTGGGTGGGGAGGGGGTGGTGGTGTGGGGGGGGGGTAATGATGTAAATACTAATCACCCAAAAGTCCAAATAAACATGTTGAATCAGGCAAGCATGAAAACAGGCAATGTAGTAGAAAATTATTATAAAAAATAAAAAAAAGCAGTCAGTGGTGGGAACTAATGAAGTAGAAATATTAAAAAAGTCCAAATAATGAAAGTGAATCAGGCAAATGTGATTTAAAAAGATGTGAACTGAAGTAAAACTGAAGTACCTAAACTTTTTGGGGTATACCTGGCAGTGTAACCCCAAACACAACTTCAAGTCTCACTTCAAGTCATCAGTTGTCTTTCTTCCGAACAGAAATACTTTGGCACCTCTTTACAAACATTAGTAAAAGGTTCATTATAGAATGACCTAGTTTACAAACAGCTTTGAAACAACTCACCGTCTATTCGAATCAAACTTCATTTGGGCCAGGATCAATGGAACATTCTGTCAGACTTGTGCTCGACCTATTGGGTTCTTATTATTAAATTGCTGTGCGTGCAAACCCTGCTGGTGTTTTCCTTGCAGTCAAGGAGTACTTTGGCCCATCGGTGCACATGTTGTTCATCTTTATTGACAACCTCCAAAGCCTCCTGTTGATTCCACCTTCATCTATTTACTCTCTAAATTAACACAGATGTTTGTTGACAACGCCTCTTGACGAGGGGAGTCCCTCACACTATCTGACGTGTCCAAAGATGGAACAACGTGGAGTACTCTGAGGTGTGTGTGTGTGTGTGTGTGTGTGTGTGTGTGTGTGTGTGTGTGTGTGTGTGTGTGTGTGTGTCAGAGTACAAAACACACATGCAGAAAGCCTCCTTTGTCAGGCTTATCTACACCGTATGAGAGATGAAAGCATTGCGGGCTGCCTGCAATCACACAGAACGAGGGGACAAAATGAACTGATAAAAGTTAGAAAGGAAGAAAGAAAGAGCAGAGGAAGAAATAAAGCAAATATGTCCCAGATTGAAAAGATTGGATTTCAGCGCAGGCAAATGACACATGATATACTTCAAACTAGCTGAAGAAAGCAGACCAAAAAAAAATTGGGAAAAAAAGGAATTCTTATATAATATTGTTATTAGAAATAGGAATTGGTTAATGTAACACAGCACATCCCAACAGCGTCCCAGAGGTCGCTTTTTATGAGAACTTTAATTTTGAAAATATATGAATTTGAATAGAAAAAAAATAGGACTTTTATCTTGAGAACATGACTTTTTTCCTTTAAAAAAAACATCGGTCTTTTTATCTTACAAATTACTTTTTTTTTTCAAACTTTATGCTCATAAAATTTGAGGTCTTGAAAGTATGTAATGTTTCCTCAAATAAATACACAATCTTTTATCTTGAAAAAGAGAGTTGAGTCTTTCATAAGTTTTGGCCAGTCAAGTCCCAGTATTGGCAACTCGAGTCTGACTCCAGTCAAGGCGTGTGATTCGACTCCCTAACCCCCAAATCAAAGCCATATTATCTGACATTCACTAAATATTGTGATGTCCAGCTATGGCCAAACAAAGCCACACTTTACCTTTTGAAGAAAATTAGTTCGAAACAAAAAATTAGGATCCAATATTTTCCCATTAATCAGTTTTGGTTTTTTGTTTCATGTTCCTGCACAAAGTTTGGCTCATAACACCGAAACCAATTAACGTACAGTCAGGGACAATGTGAGCTTTGCAAACTTTCCTTATCAAAAAGTGCAGCGCATGTGGTTAATGTCCACCAGGACCTTCAAAACGACAAGGCCCGATTGTGACATAAGTCAAGTTATGCATTAACACCGACCTCAATGGACAAGCGTTCCGACAATACGTCATAGCTGGAGATAAGATCTTCGAAAAGAGCTTCAAGAGTGGAAATGACACAGGCCTCCACTGTGCTAGGATGAGATACAAGTGAAAACATGTGACATGAATGGCGCAATAAAAGCTGTTAAGGTGTTTTGGAAACTCCTTCAAGTCACCGCTGATAACAGTCAACGGCTTAACTATGGAAATATTTTCTTATCGGTTTCCTCAATAATAAACCTCTTCGTATCAGGAAACACATTTATAAATAGAAATTACTCCCGTTCATTGTCAAATAAACTCTTCTTCCACAATAAACATTTACAACGCACATCAGGTCACGTTCTATTTTAAGCGAACGACGGATGAAATAAAACAACCTTGATCACGCAACAGGGATGGTTCAGACGCTCTGAAAGCATTGTTCTGCTTGAAGTCATACAGTGTCAACAATTCTCATGAAATCGTAATACCAGTAACGTTTCCTCCATCTCATGTTAGACATGTAGTCATAATTTATTTTGTTATTAATTTAAAGCAATCACAAAATATTAAAATTTAATGAAGTTAAGCTAACAACGTTGCTAATTAGCACTGAACAGTCACTTTGGCAAACAATTAGCTTAACTTTTACCTCGCCATAAAATGACATGTAAAGTTTCACGTGATTTTTCTAATTAATAATTATGATATGATGATTAATGAATCAGAAAATGCGTGAATGGGAAAATAAGGCAACATTGCTCATTAGCTTTGAACGGATACAGAAGTTGCACGGACGGTACAGACGGTTAACTTGTATCTTGTCACGGATACAACTTTTAACCTTTCATAAAATCCTTGTTTCTTTCCTTTTGTCCCTTCCTTCCAGATCACCACTGAATGGGAAAATAAGGCAACATTGCTCATTAGCTTTCAACGGATACATAAGTCGCACGGGCGGTATTGATGCTTAACTCTCATCATCCAAATATTCCACGGATACAACTTCCTACCTTTCATAACATCCTTGTTTCTTTCCTTTCGTCCCTTCCTTCCAGATCACCATACATCGTTAAAATCCATCCTTACCTTTGAAACATCCTCCTCCCTTCACAGCCTCCTTCATTTCGTACCTACCTTTCTCCTCCCTTGTTTCAATCCTTCCGTATGTCCTTGTTCCTTTCCTTTCCTTCCTTTCTTTCATACTTCCACCCTTACTCCTGTCCACCCTTTCTTCATTCCTTCCTTAAATAAGTCAGTTCAAAATGCGTACACTGTGCCTACTTCTGGCTCACACTGCACAAAATAACCAAGCTAAGCTAATTAGCATTGACTAGCTAACTCTTTGGAGGGCAGCTGGCGAAACTTGTCATACAATTATTTGCACCCTTTCTTCATTCCTTCCTTAAATAAGTCAGTTTAAAATGCGTACACTGTGCCTACTTCTGGCTCACCCTGCACAGAATAACCAAGCTAAGCTAATTAGCATTGACTCTTTGGAGGGCAGTTGGCAAAACTTGTCATACAATTATTTAAAAGTTTAAATGTCTTTGAAAATATTACCATATTAGATCAAGATACCAATCATATACTAAGGAAACGGACGCCTATGAAGAATGAACAACTGATAAGGCATAGAAAAGATTTGGACAGATGTTGTCTAGGGGTAAAAAAAAAAATGCTCAAAGAGGCCCAGCTGACTTGATTGCCCCTCCCCATAATGAGACTGCACTGTGGGGGTATTTGCATAAGCTTATTACAACATAATCCTGCTAGCTGCACCATAATGTAGCTTGACAGACATGCTTGCTCCCCCCTCAGATAGGAAGACAGTAAACGTGATGTGTACGAGTTTTACCAATCATAACTACCAACTATTTTTGGAAAAGAGACTTTCCATAGATTGAGGAACTAGCTAGTTAGCAAGACCAAGGGCTAATCATTGGACTCAGTTTATTAGATTAATGGTTGAAAGATATTTTAATCAGGTACAAGTGATGTGTACGAGTTTTACCAATCATAACTACCAATTATTTTTGGAAAAGCGACTTTCCATAGATTGAGGAACTACAGTAGCTAGTTAGCAAGACCAAGGGATAATAATTGCACTCAGTTTATTAGACTAATGGTTGAAAGATATTTTTAATCAGGTACATGTGTCAATTGTTCACGCGCTACATTTTTTTCCACCATCTCATGCATCTTTTAGCACCAACTGAGTTGCTCTGGTCAAATCACTTTGTTGCTCCGCTCAAAACTCTTCTGCCTATCTAACACTGCTCGATCACTTCTATGATCAGGCCACTAAATTGCTCTGCATGCTCCTCTGTCCACAGTCTATTGTTGCTTTTGCCTCCGGATTACAGTCAGTGCTATGGTCTTTGCTCAATTGCTCTGCTAGCAATCTCCTTTCTCCGCGTGTTGTCCTTCTCCTCTTTCCTTAGTCTATTTAAATCCTGACAACACATTATAGTAGCTTCCCCTACTTCCTATACTTTGTCTTGAGAGTGTTACAAAATTGCCTTTATTTATTTTTAATCTGGTTTACTTCAAGAATGAGAAATTCACAGCATAAGCCTCGGTGTAGGTGTCTCTTAATCATAGCCCAGACATATTGCATCGAATTACAAGGGCTTGGGTAACAGTTAATCTCAAAGACAATGCACAAAGTAGAGCACAGTCCACGTGTCGGATCCCTTCCCACCCAATGGAGCTGACGAGCATAGTTAATGTCCCTCTGAAATCCCAACCAGCAAGCAGCGCCGCAATCATCATGCTGGCAATTATCCGAGGGGGAGCTGCAGGAATCGCTCAGCGACTCTTAATCGTCGAAACTGATTACGAGGCCGCTCCATCGCTACATCAAGGAACCGTCATCCTTCAAACAGTTCTCCGAAGTTACGTAAAGACATGAGCATGGGGGGGGGCAACAGAATTCAACAACCTTTTGGAGAATTACAGTGAAAAGAGGTTACAGTGGACTTATGATGCCGTTTTATTAAGGAAAAAAAAATTCTACAATCCACAGGTAATTGCTACCTTTGACAATTATGAGGTCAATCCCTGTAAATTGAAAATAAATGTCCTCTAAATTTGATATACCACAGAGAAGACTTCATCATTCACCATCCCGCCAGACTTTAATGATGAAAGAAATCGGCAAGTGGGCTAATATAATTTGTAGTTTTAAAATGGTGAAAAATCAAGCGGTTCCCTTGTCTCTCGAATGCTGGAATTGTGTCCGTTGAATCCTTTCAAACCCTGAACTTTCTTATATGTTTGAGCTGCCAAAAAAAAAAAAAAAAAAATGGCCGCTTCAAGTTTCCAGTATAAAAAAGGCTTCTCAATCTTTGCGTGTTTTCATGAATTATCTTCAAGGTGTAATGTATTTGAAAAAAAACGAATTTGAATTCAGTCTATAGGGTATTTAATATTTCATTGCTTTGGGGAGTTACTTGGTTCAGTTTCTTCTTTATCAGATAAAATGCATGTCATACAGGGTAGGGTTAAAGTCTGTAGAAGGACTTGGCCAGTTAAAATAAAAATCCACTTCTTTCCGCTGATTAACTTTTTTTTTTGAGTTGGCAGTGTGTTTTAGGAATTAGGATCATTATCTCCTTTTTCTCCATTATCTCGTTTTTGTGCTTCAGCAAAAATAAAGAACTTAACTTTACTGTTCCAATAAAATTGGAAAGGTTGTGCATTTTGGCTACAGTTGAGAGTCATTAAAAAAAAAAAAACCCAACAACAACAATAAGTTGAGTTACCAAAGCAGTTTTACTAAATGCTGCCGACAAATTATAATAACCAATGACTGCCAAAGCATGAACCTCAAACACCGGTTTAGCCCATTATCTTGTCATAAAATGGCAACCAAATGTTTTATAGGGAATTTGCTCACCATTTTTGGAGGGTTTGTGGATTAAGTTTGAAATGTTTTGCTGGGAGTCGATTTGCACACCGCATATATCCAAGCGAATTTGACAAGGTTGAGCAGTTTGAAGGAAGAAGAAGACAATGAGAGACAACAATGTTTTGTTCCTGAAATATTTTTGGAAAATGGAGACTAGCTGACTGTACGGATTAGGCCACTTAACACCCCCACCCCCACTCCCACCACACACACACACACACACACACACACACACACACACACACACACACACACACACACACACTGAGGCTGGACAACATAATCGTTGTATCATCTGTCAGACAGCAGGCACTGTCTTTCAGCTACATCCCCAATCATTATGTCAACAAGGACAAGACACTATTCTCTCTGGCTCTATTGTTATAAATGTTGGCCACAGCTATGAATAGCAAAACAAAATGTCTTTTGTAAGCCATTAATCATCTGATCGTGCATAACTAGAAGTCTTGGTGCCAGCAGAACCTCTGCGGCCAAATCTTTGAATGCTGCGTTAACTGTTTCACTGCTTTCACTCTGTGGTGTGGGTATGGCTCATTCATTTCACAGTCAAAAGTCCATTTTTGACCAGCTAAGTACTAATCTGCACTTAATTAATGGATTCCAATGTGTGGTAGTGTGTACCTTTTCCATGACCAAACCTGAGTTACCCTTCTGTAAAAGCGCTGCAGTACCTTCAAGTTTAATTAAAAACCCGATAAGTACTCATTAAATTTTCTGATTAAACTCCCAAATGGTTTAATCATTTTTTTTCCATGAAATCTTTTCAGGAAGGAAAGGTTTTGACTCCGGTAAGAGAAGGTCAACTTGTCTCAAAATTCATTTGTATTCTTTGGCATTTGACTCAGCATGACTCAGACTTGAACTTAGTTTTACTGTTTTGTGCTTTCTACTGTCTTTGTTATTAATTTATTGTTTTGTTGTTGTGTATATAATATTTGCTCCGTGTAAAGCACTTTGTATACAGTTGTTTTAAAGTTCTCTATAAATACAGTTGAGTTGAAAGTTGAGTCATAATAGTTGGAAACGATCAATAGTCATGTATCAGCGGTCCCCAGCCTTTTTTGCCCCACGGACCTGTTTAATGTCAGACAACATTTTCAGGGGCCGGCCTTTCAGGCCGAATAAAATATAACAACATAATATGATATGACCTGCATGAAAACTGTGGTATTTCCTAAACATAATAAACATGAATCATGACACGAGGAACGTCCTATCGGGCCGCAACACTCTCTGGTCGCTTTGATAACGTTTAAACGTGCCTTCTAAATAAGATATACGGATACATACGAAATAAGATAAAATAATACATACTAATACACAGTGAATGAAAAATACTCACCATCGCCGCATATTATGCTGAGTGGGTTTGGTGCGTGGGAATCTCCCGTTGTGATAAATCCGTATTTTAAGTAGAATTCCTGATACTGTCTATTAAATGTAGTCTTCTTTTTCTTGGAAGTCTCTGTTTCCTGGCTGGGCCTTTCCCCTTCCCAAAGAAACTTAACAAAGACGTTTGGTTTTTTACTCATTTTGCTAGCTACTGGGTTTCATTTTAGCGTAACCTAGCACCTGGCCGAGAAGCGCGCCTTCACCTGCGTAAGGAGTGGCACACTGTAGACGGGTGTAACAGAGAATCCGGTAATTTTTCAAAATAAAATATCATTCAGTTTCCGAAATGAATAAAACTGAAGTAATGTTGAGTTATTTAGTCTTTCTGTGGGCCCGGTACCAAATGACCCATGGAACGGTACCGGTCCGCTGTCCGGGACCACTGATATACCACTGTTGTAGAGAAGCAGTATTGCTAGAGCTATTCAACAACATTCTGCCTCTTTAATTTAATCCAAGAAATGTAGTGTGCAACATTCTTAATTTTGAAAGCGCCTGAGCATGATAGATAGATAGGTGGGAGTGCAACAGACACATAACTAATGCATTGGCCAGGAATTGAACCCGGGTCAACTGCTTGGAAGGCAGCTATACTAACCACTATACCACCAATGCTGAACAAAAGAAAATGGTGAATATGGGTTGAAGTGATTCAGAAGTTAAAAGCAAGGAAAAGTGGTGCATTTGAGCAAATTCAACTTTGTTTTGGAGTGGCAGAAACTGACCCAGGCTTTGAAACGAGAGTGTGAGTATTTCAATTGCAACCGGTTGTCGGTGACACGATTTAAGTCAGGCGTTCTTCCCTGGAATTCATTCGGTTGCTTGTGTAACGTTCAACAGATACAACAAGACATTATTTGGCTCTTGGGTTTGCTGTTTAATGTAACTATTACAATGATTCTGACAATGTTTTTTTTTTTTCCTGTGAAGAGCCAAAACCAGAACTTTACTTTGAGATGGCAGAAACAGATTCTGGCTTTGAAACTGGAGGGCCACAGTTCCAGTTGCAAGTAGTTGTGGTCTGCTTCCTGATCGCTTAATGGCATTCTTCCATGGAATTCATTTGATTGCAGTTGTGTAACCTTCAATTGTCTTCATCCTCGTTGGGGTTTTTGGTCCAATGTTTTGTTGAACTATTATAAGGATTGTGATTATCAATTTAAAATTTGGTCTGTAGAAATACCAAATCATAATCTTACTGTATGTGTATGTTTTAAATCTTGTGTTCATACTGAAGCATTGAAACCTAGATTTAGTTGGAAACTATATTATATACCATATAGGTGAATAATAATTTAGAATGAAGTGTCAACAGTGATGGATTCAAATGTTTCACATTTTATTTTATTCCATTCAAACAGCTCAACAAAATCGCTCTGTTCTGTACCGCTTGACATTATGGTGACATTACAAACATCAAAATCGAAGGACATATTTATATACTATGTAACATACATAAAAGAATATGGCACATTCATGCATCCGCTTTGTTCATGATCGGTTGGAGGCCCAGAGGGAGCAGATACGAAGAAAGAGACAGAGCGTAAATGAATGAATGACAGGCAGGCTTCTGAAAAATAAGAAGCAAACAGTAAAATTCTAGAATGAGTCTCTTTGGTGGTCAATAGAGGAGTGAAAATGTCCTAGAAGACAGCTGAGGATCTTTACTGGGCCACTGGCACTTCACATATGACTGTTTGCGGCACCCTCTCAAGTTGGAAGTAAGCAGTCATTGCATAACTGACACTTGAGTCTTAACACCATTTGGTCCAAAATTTGCATGGCACGCTGTCATTTACTTAAGTCACAGTTGGAACTGCGTGTGATGAGGTAATTGACAGTGGCGCCACCCAACTTTAGTTAGCCATTAAAAGGATAAGGCGGGCTTTCACCAAAGAGTATACAGCCTCAGCAATTGATCATCAGTTTAGATGAACACACATTAAAGGGTGAATTTGCAAAACCTCCAGACAAAAAAAAAAAAAAGACAAACATTTTCATATGTGTGAAAACTGTCCGCAGAAAAAATGACAGTAGTACAATTGGTAAAATGAGCCGCGAAGAAAAAACAAATCAATCAGCCCTCTCTGGCCCCATTTATCTGTAATTAGATTTTTATATTTGTTAGCCCAAGAAGTCAAAATATTGGCATTGTTTTGGTTAAAATGTAGGATGGTTTTAACTTTTTAAAATGATAAAACCTTTTTTCTGCACTCTTATTTTTTACCTATTTGAAACGAACACAAGTTTTAAAAATGTGATTAATTGCATGGGAATCGAACTCTTTAAATATTAGATTTTTTTTTTCAATTTTTGGAAAAAATCTGTGAAAGGTAATTGACAGTGGCAAATATGTGCAAAATTTAAAAATAAAGTTTCACAAAGTTTGGATGTCTTTATGTGTGAGATCAAATAGCGTAAAAGCAAAATCTCACAACTATTGGGAGAAAGTTTTTTTTTTTGGGGGGGGGGGCGCTTTAAAGGGAGTGTCAATTGTTCACGGATTTATGTTAGTTACGGTGGGGCTCGGTCCCGATCTCCTGTGAACAGTGTGGGGGCCGCTGTCCTGGACTGAACTGAAAACAGTTTCAAACATTTGATCTGAAAAAGACACATCAGTTGGTGGGGATGACTGAAGATAACTAAAGATGCAGGCAGTACTGGCTTTCATGTACAGTACACGACCAAGCAGCTCATTTGGGTATTTATGAGTGAAGAACTGTGAAAGTAGTAAAGCATTTAGGGTGGTTTAACAAATCATTAGTCTAAAAGCACAATTGCCAAAGTCACTTTGAACAATAACAATTCAAAAAAACAAAATAAAACTGCAAAAAAATCTTATCCCTCTTTGTCAAGGTACTCAAGAAAGACTGACTCAAGGCCACTGGACTTTTCTTATTTGCCGACTTAGGCAATTACGCTGGTAGACTAACGAAATCCATCTTCATCTTGTCAACGCAAAATGAAACAAAGTTGAATTACCATGTGCAGCCCATAGAGATGACATAGTTTGCATATTCAGTCATTGTTCTCAGTTCATATGCTGATCATTTGACTCAAGTTCACATTTGCATATGCAGTGCGCTGAAAGCTGCGTAGAGCGCGCGGTTGGGTTGGGCGCCGCTCTCAAGTCACGCGGTTGTCCTTTCAGCCCCAAGTCACCGGGCTGCGCGCCACCGAGTGACTCCAAGTGTTCCGTGTTCTACTGGACGCACACGTACTTCTTCCACCACGACTTGGAGAGCATCTTCATCTTATCGGCCGTGCTGCGCACCTTCCTCTCCCGCCGCAGCCTCCGCTCGCAATTGCGCAGCCCCACGGCGATGGCGACGTCAAACACCTCCTTCAGGTTCTTTTGCGTGAGCGCCGAGCACTCCACGTAGGTAACGGCGCCGATCTTGTCGGCCAGCGCGCGGGCGTCCTCCTCGGCCACGGGCCTCTCCTTCCGCCGGGCCAGCTCGATGAGCACCTTGACGTCCTGCCGCAGGTCACACTGGGTGCCCACCAGGATGACGGGCGTGAGGGGGCAGCGCCGGCCGATCTCCGGGACCCATTTCTCCCAGACGTTCTGGAAGGACGCCGGGCTGACCACACTGAAGCACAGCAGCAAGGCGTCGGTGCGACTGTAGCAGAAGTGACGCAGCTTGTCGAACTCGTCCTGGCGGAGACGCAAACGTGTTAGGATCTTAGAAGTCGGATGATGACAGAGTAGCAAGGTTCAGTCAAAAACACTCGCGATGATATTTATTACATTTGGAGTGGTTTGTAACAACGCAGACATACTGGAGAATAATCACAAAGCATCAACCCCACGCATCTAGCACGTACACGCGGTGACGTCAGAAGGCGCATCCAATAAAAGTTGGGGTGGTAGAGTGACTTCAAGAGCGCAAATAGCAATAACGGGCGGGAAAAGCCTCCCTGCTACTTCCTGGTTGGCTACTACGCTAACACTTACAAATAGCTTGCCCTGGAACGCCGCCGTCCTTGCAGTGCAGTGTGAAAAGGCAGCAGACGCAGTGACATGTTAAAAACAATTCAAAAAGGCAGCAAAAGTCTAAACCTCCTTGATGAACTCTTAAGAGTTTCTCTGACTCGACGAGCGCCTCACACACCCTTAAACACTTTAAAGTTGTCAGAAATTTAACACAAACCAATCCTCCTCCTCCGTTTCTTTTCCAGAGCCGGGTCACTGATGGCGCTTTTCCTAAATCTATCCATCCCGTGTCTCTGCCGCGCCCTAACGTGTCGCTCGCATCGTGTCAGTCAATCCATCAGCAGAGCGCACAGACACCCACAACCATTTCTGGCACGCGGAATTACATAAGCGTCGGCTTTAATCTGCTCATATTTGCCCTTACACGCCAACATGTGTGTGAGTCGTTGCTGCAGCTCACGACAAGTTGTGAGCTCGGTATTAGGAGAGGCTCAAAAGAAGAGCTGGCAATGGCCGGCAGGCTTTATGCATATCAAATGTGCTGCTCCCAGAGTTCATCAGAGTGTGCTTATGAAACAGCAAGGCTTCATTGGCTCCACATGACGTAACAACGCTCCGTTTCACAACGGCAGCTATTATGCCGACTTTTTAGCCCCGCGAGTTGAAAGACATGTGGAATTCATTTAGAGGTGTCTAAACTTATTGATTAATCCACAACTAACTCATTATCACATTAATTGACAACTAACAAACAAATCATCGAGGAATCATTCAGAGCCCTGGCTTCACTTAAAATCGTCCAAATCCTCTGAATGGTTTTGCAATACACTTTAAGGTCAAATAAAATTAACAATGGATTATTCAATCGTGACAGCCTTAAATTCATTCATGGAGTCAACAGGGACAAGTGACTGAGTGCGGCGCCATCATAGCTGAAATCATTTAATGCTGTGGGGCGACAATTCATGTTTTTCAAATACGTAAGTAGAACAATGCATCGCAACGCGGATGGACATTGTGATTTGTTTGTACTCCTTTTGTACAATGCA